AAGTTGGATAAGATGTCATATCATGATGATTCGATATCTTTGCTCGTTACTTTACAATTTTGATACTGCTAATTTATTTCCAGATTTTAGAACATTATGGGAATATTTGTTTATCCTAGGTGGTGTTCAAGATTGAGGAATTAGAAATTCTATTTGAATTTGAAGATGTTGTTTTCTAAGTGTGGAGACATTTTAGGAAACTTTAGATTGAAGAAACTATTTTTATGGAGAAGATTCTCAAAAGATTTACAACGTGTAGATTGTATCTAATTGAAGAGTCCAAGCCCATACAACAAGAGTCTATAAATAAGGACATTCTAGACCTGAAAGAGCAAGCATTCACAACAAGAAAACTGTGGGTGCAACATAAAGGTTTAGGGTTTTTAGAGTCTCTTGTGTGTGACTTTAGAAGTCACTCGTTGTATCTTTTGATACATCGTGGTAGACATATTTAAGTTTTATATTGTTCTCACTCGAAGCTTTGAAGCAAGAGTTGAGTATTATTCTTGGTTGAAGCTTTTAAGAAAAATTAAGTATTGTTCATGGTCAAGAGTCTTGACCTTGTATTGTTCTTAAAAGAAAGATGATACATCTTTCTTTTTGGTTTCTTGTGGAATTCCCTAAGACTGGGAGTGTTTGTTTATCACTGTGGTGATTAGGAGTGAGATGGTGATTTCTCATATCTAGGAGTTCCTAGGTAGAAGTTGCACTAGGTAGGGATTAAGTGAGGGGTTGTAAATGGAGGAGTTTAGCTCTGAATTGATACTACTGATAGTGGATTTCCTTCTTGGCCTAGTAGCCCCTAGATGTAGGTGTTGTTGTACACCGAACTGGGTTAACAATTACTGTGTCTTCATTTACTTTCTGCAATTTTTATTGAGCTTCTTCTTGTCATTATGTTTAAGTAGAGATCAATGTCTTGACATCTCTTAGGACATCTGAGATCTGCATACCAGAATTTCAGATTATATTTTCCGCTATGTAATATGTATCTTGTACAATGATGGATATTATACTCAGATCTTAGATTTTATTGTTTGGCACTTTCCATATCTTGTACCATTGTTGTTCTTTATGTTTTGTAAAATGGATAAGTATGTAAATTATGCCAATAGGAACTTACGATGGTGTCAATATCAGGTAATAACACTTGTATGATATTATTCTAGATATTTATTATACAGGGCATTAAAACCAATGTCATCAGTTTTCTGGAAAGATATATCAACTTCGTTGAAAACTATATCTTAACTTATGATACACCTTCTATGACTTAGCTCTAGGCACCACAACCTAGAAGCTTTGACTCCTTCAGGGTATTCATGGAACATACATCTCAGAGCTCTAGGTTTGACCTTGTTTTTCCTAATGTGAGCATAAGATAATCAGCCAAATACTATAAGTCTGTCGAGATAAGGTGAATGTCTCGACCAGACTTCTTCAGGTGTCTTCATCCCCAAAGGAGTCGAGGGACACCTATTTATCATGTAAGCTGCAATCATGACTGCTTCAGCCCAAAAACCTTCTTTAATCCCGCACTAACCAACATGCAACTCACTCTTTCCATAATGGTTTGATCAAACCTTTCATCCAAACCATTTTGTTGGGGAGTACCTGCGGTATTTATGTGTTTTGCAATACTAGATGCAACAGAATAGTCGTCAAAAGTCTCATTGAAAAATTCAAGACCATTGTCAGTCCTCAACCTCTTGGCCTTCCTGCCAATTTGGTTTTTGACCAGAGTCTTCCAACTTTTGAAATTTTTAAAAGTTTCATCCTAAGATTTCTAAATGAATACCAACAACTTTTGTTAGTAATCATCAACTATGGATATAAAATATCTTGCACATGAGTGTGACGGATACCTTGCAAGCCCTAAAAGATTAGCATGGATATAATCTGGGGACTCGTGTCTTCTTTGTTTACCTTTGTTAAACTTCACCTATAGGATTTACTAAATACACAAGGTTCACAAAACTCCAATTTTTTGACCTTGTCACCACATAGACAATTTTGTTTCGAAAATTTAACCAAGCCTCTTTCACTGACATGGCCAAGTCTCTTGTGTAATCGCTTAGTCTTCAACGCAGGTTTTGTGGATGCCACATCTACTAAACCACTTACAACCTCAACCTCGAGGGTATACAAGCCTTGCCTCTTGATGCCTCTCAAGACTTCCTTCAACCCCTTCATTACCCTTAGGATACTTTTCTCTCCTTTGAAAACATATTGTTTCTTGTCTAATTCACCAAGAGAAATAAATTTCCTCTTAAGTTCAGGTACATATATGACATCAGTCAATATCGTTATTTATTCATCGTGGAGCTTGAATGTGATAGATCTAATTCCTGCAATTTTGCAGGCTTTGTTGTTTCCTAGCAACACTGATCTACCATCTTGATCACATAATTCCTCAAATACATCCTTGTTTGGAGTCATGTGCCAAGTACAACCTGAATCCATAATCTACTCCTTGTTAGAGTCGCTGCTTGAAACCACTAGGACATCATATAATTCATAATCATCTTGCACAATGGATGTATTACCATTATACTTTCCATCATGATAATTCAAACATTCAGGGAACACCTTTCTTTTATGTCCCTCATTCTTACAATGATAACACATGATTGCAAGAGCATTACCACCATAAGAATTCTATAGAACTCTACCCTTCTTCCTCTCATACTTACCATCTTTCTTTGAGAAATTTCCTTTAACGGACAAACCTTCTCCAATAGATAATGGATTTTTCTCATTTCTTTCATTTTAGTCATTTGAGTACAAGGTTGATTGAACTTCTTTAAAGGTCAGAGATTTTCTTTCATACAAAAGGGTTTCTTTGAAGTGAGCATGAGATTTTGGTAAAACACACAACAAAACCAACATCGCTTGATCTTCATCATCAATATTGACCTTGATATTTTCAAGATCAAGAATAAAATTGTTGATCATATTCAGTCGCTCAGCCAATACTTTGTCTTCACTCATCTTGAAGGAATCCTTAGTAGAGACGATTGACCAAGAATATGGTCATATACAATCCCCCGAGTTTACTCCATACACCCTCTGTCGTCTTCTCCTTTGAGACCTGTTGGAGAACTTTATCACCAATGCTCAATATGATGGCGATGTGGGACTTCTCGATCATTATCGTCTTTTTTGTTAGGGAAACTTCCATCTTATCTGATCCTTTCAACGCTTCTAATCAACCCTACAGAACCAATAGGACTTGCATCTTCAAGCGCCACAAACCGAAGTCATTAATACCGTTGAATTTCTCAATCTCATACTTTGTTGAAGATATCTTCTCCTCCACGCTCACCGCACCAACTTGTTGTGAAAGCAATTCCCATAAAACAAAGTATTTTAATCGAAAATAAAACCACAAGGTATAGGAAAAGAGAGAAGAAAAAAAAGATAATTCAAAGTGGTTTAAAAAACAGGAATCTTGATTCAATTGCATATTAGGGAACAATGTTTAAAATTAAATCTCAACCACACCACTCTCTTTCATTGATTAGGATTAACAAGGATTGATGGAGAAGTGATGACTAGTATGTTATTTATAAAAAAAACTAAATTCTATCTTTCAACTAACATACTAAACAATTGGCTCAATAGACTGCCCCAATTCAACATGCTAACTTAAAGAACAAGCTGGTGTATTTCAGCAGCTACACTAGCTCTTCGACTTCAACATAACTCTTCAACTTCAAAAGAGTTTGCAACAACACCAACTTATAACCTATAAGCTACAACATTCTTTATTCTTGTCGTATTCCCATGGATGATTCTCATGACATAAGATGTTAGAAACATTTAGAATTAGGTTTCTTGTCTCTAAAAAATGCTTATAACTTTCTTATCAAGTCAATATCTTATTTGGAGTACACATGTTTGGAATGATTCATACCTCCCTCAAAATTTATGCTTTTTTTTAGATTTATTAATAATAAGCTTCTTAGAAGTTGTCATTTTCCTTATTCAGATTCCCTTTGTTTTAAATAGATTGAAGTCATTCAATATCTCTTATTTGACTGTAAATTTTGTTTTCATATCAGCGCATAGTTATCCAACATTTTTTCCACTAATAACAAAACCTCATCCCTTTATAGGAGTAATGTTTACAGTGGTGCTTTCATCTCAGAAAAACCGGACACAGTCTTGGTTAGAATCAAAGTTCAAACTTGTTGTGCAAGCTTTTACTAATCATAAATTAGTCTCTTAGAAGATCAAAGCTAGGTGGATTAATTGTATTCGGATTGCCAAATCCACGAACTTCGTAGTCTCTCATCATATATTTAGAGTAGAGAATGTTTATGCAGACTAGTTTGCTAGTTTAGGCTTTATAATTTTTACTTAATTAGTTCATGTTTAAGATAGTCTTAAGGTAGATTTCTTAAAATAAAATAAAAAAGAATTAAACAAGGTCATAAAGTGTATGAATTTCTCAATTATAGTATTTGAAATAAATTCTAAAAAAAAATCAAAACTCTCAATCTCCAGAATTTGAAAATGAGAAGAGTATAATTTTGCTGCACAGCAGTCTCCTACTTGGTCCAATCTTATTACATGTCTCACTACGAGTTGCCCACGTTGCTCATTAGTTTGACTCACGTGCCTAAATTAAACAATGCAATTACCCTTTTCATTTTACCCAAAAAAACAAAGAATATTCTACTAGAGATTTTAATTTAGGCGTTAGCTCCATCTTTTAATACATCAAGATGATAAAAAATATTCAAAAACATCCTCTTTAGCCTTACTTTTAACCACATCCAAATAAGTACTATCTATTGTTTTTTAATTCCATTGAATCATCACTCTCTCAATCTTTTTGGTCTCTTTGTTTCCCATGACTATATAAATGACCCAAGCCTCCAAATATCTTCATTCAAACTCCAAAACTCACCATTAATAGTATTTCACTATAAAAGGAAGAAAAAAAACACATTATACATATACACAAAATTCCAATTTGTTAAGTTCATCCAAAAATGGATTTTGATTCTCATCTCTTTCAAAACCAAAACCAAAACCTTCTATACTTCCCTCAAAATTCCTACTATAATAATTTCTCTTGGGAGTTAGAAAATTTCGATAATTTCTTCATTGATGACAGCACCTTCAACAATGAATCACAAACACAGACACAAACACGAACCAATGAATTATTATCTTCATCATTATCATCGGCCGAGTCCAACTCTATGGTGTCCGTACTAAGTAATGACTCCATAGAAGTCTCATCCAATACAACTTATACACAAATGATCAAAGAAACACGAACTTCAACACCATTACCACCACCACCGCAGATTAAGGAAAGCAATAAAAGAGCGTTTAGAGGCGTAAGAAGAAGGCCGTGGGGAAAATTCGCGGCCGAGATAAGAGATTCAACAAGAAAAGGCGTGAGAGTATGGATTGGAACATTCGACACGGCCGAAGCGGCCGCGTTAGCTTATGATCAAGCGGCTTTCTCAACAAGAGGTTCATTGGCAGTGTTGAATTTTCCGGAAGAAGTTGTTAGAGAATCACTTAAAGAAATGGGTAGAAACTCTAAGCCTTTGGAAGAAGGAACTTCACCGGTATTGGCACTCAAGAGAAAACACATCATAAGAAAAAAGTCCAATAAGGTTAGTAAAAAGAAAATCAAAAGTGAAGAACAAATTAAGATTCAAATAGAAACCAAAAATGGTAACATTAATTCACAAAATGTGTTTGTGTTTGAGGATTTGGGGGCTGAATATCTGGAGCAACTATTGAGCTTGACTTCTTAGTTGTTATTTTTTGTCTAGATTCATAGGTTTTGGAAATTTTCATCAACTTGGTATTATTAATTCATGATGATGACAAGATAAATGTTCCATAGGATATTCTTTTATCGTCATCATCATCACTTCACTACTTGAATTTTTATTTTGCACTATTGTTGTTCTGTAAAGAAAAAGAAAACTTTATAAAGTATGTAATTACATATATGTTTTAGGAAAATTGGTGTGTTGCACATGAGAATTTATCTGCATTATGAAATTATTGTATTATTTGTGATATTATCTTTATGGATGAATTTACATACCATTTGTTTTTTTTTTCTACCATTAGTATCAGATCCATTTAATCGATTAATCTGATTTAAAAATCAATTTTAACAATAAATAATTACAATCCTTTTCCGATCACAATTGTAAAAGATAGAATCATAGTTCTCCTTACTAAATTTAAAGACACTTTTGAACCAATTAATAATTGATATAACATTTTGTATTTAAATATGAAAAAAAAAATGTATTCATTTTGTGGACCATGTAGTTAGTATATCTTTTAATTAAATTTAAGTTCAAATAGGATATTTTTGTCAATTAATTAAAATATAAGTAATGGTGTAGAAGTAATGGAAAGATATTAGTATACCGTAATCATTTTTGTCTTGTTTGTATATGACTCTTAAAAGACAAAAAAAATTTGAATACCTACCTCATTAATATAACTTAAATAATAGTAGATATTAAAATATTTGATGTGAAAACGTTAGAAATAGTAGAATAAAATAAAATAAAATATTATATTTATAAAATATATTGAAATCTAAAAATAAATAAATAATATTTTAATATTAAAGTAAAAGCTTATAATTTATTTTTAAAAGTATGTGTTACAAAGATAATTTTATAATTATTGTCTTTCTTAAAGGTAAATAATTGATGATCCTTTTCAATGTAGGATTGTCAGAGATTTTTAAGGTTGTAGTGATGTTAAAACAACCTCACGTAAGGATTGTAAGAAACTCTGCATGTGATTTTTTGTGTAATGAATTGGACCCTCGTTTAACCTCAGGATTTTGGTATTTATAAGAAATCTCTGGGTCAGGACCATATGCTTCGAGAGATTAATAACAACTTTCGAGAATGCAGGAAATGGGTAGTCGATTCTCTAGTATTCAAGAGAATGTGATCTTCCCTTTTTGACTCCCTATTTCGTACTATTGTGGACTAGGGCACGTCATCACCCACGTTCTCCCAAATCGGGCGAGTAATCCAGGGAATGGGCGGCATAATCAAGAAACGGACGCCTCTCCTGGTAAATGGACGGCTCGGGAGTCTCTCGCAAGGGCGACATGCCACATCTCTTGTCTTCAGAGAGTTCTAAAGCCCTTATTAGGGGGAGGGCCTTTGCATCCCTCAAGCACAAGGTCTTTACAAAGGACAAAGTGATTAAGTTTATTTTTCTTACTTGGAGCTCTTCAGGAAAGACTTTAAGTTGAGTCCCTCAACTAAGACTTTAAGTTGAGTCTCTTAGGTGAGACTTTGAGTTGAGTCCCTTCAGCGATATTTTTAGTTAAGTCCCTCTGGAGAGACTCTAAGTTGAGCCCCTTAATGAGACTCTAAGTTAAGACACTCAGGAAAGACTTTAAGTCCCTCAAACGGGACTTTAAGTTGAGTCCCTTATGAGAGATTCTAAGCTGAGTCCTGCAGACAAGATTATAAGTTGAGTCCCTCATAAGAGACTTTGAGTTAAGTCACTCAGGAGATACTTTAAGATACGTTACACAGGCGATACTTTAAGTTGAGTCCCTCGGGAGAAACTCTAAGTTGAGTACATCAGGAGTGACTCTAAGTTGAGACCCTCAGGAGAGACTGTATGTTTAGTCCCTCGTGCGAGACTTTAAGTCGAGTTCCTCATGAGAGATTCTATGTTGAGTTCCTTAGGTGAGACTTTAAGTTAAATCCATCAAGTGAGAGTTTAAGTTGAGTCCCTAAGGTAAGATTTTAAGTTGAGTCCCTCATGAGAGACTTTAAGTTAAGCCCCTCATGTATGACTCTAAGTTGAATCCCTCAGGAGAGACTTTAAGTTGAGTCCCTCATGAGAGACTTTAAGTTAAGCCCCTCATGTATGACTCTAAGTTGAGTCCCTCAGAAGAGACTTTAAGTTGAGTCACTTAGGCGAGACTCTAGGTTGAGTCCCTCTGGAAACACTTTAAGTTGTTGCTTCACGCTACGCGAGGGATACTTCTATTGAACTTCAGTATTTATATTGCCTATGGGGGCAGCAAGGATCTTCGAGAGAAGTCCAACATTTGTATTTCCTCTTAAAGGGTGGAAAAGATCTTCCAGTGCAAGTCCAACATTTTTATTGTGTTTTGAGGGAGACAAGGATCTTCCTGTGAAAGTCTAGCATTTATATTACTTTTTCTGGGCACCAGGAATTTTCTCGTGGAATTCTAAAACTTATGTTGACTGAGAAACAAAATAACTTGTTGTAAATTTGATAACAATAAATTTTTTCAAAGAGATTCATAGACTGGATGGCCATCCGCCTTTCACCTTCAAATAAATAAGTGAAAAAAAGTTAACTATAGTAGTATCTCAGGTTAACTTAGTTCCATGTTTCGGGGACAAGTCTATCGTCCAGCTCTTCAAGCTTGTAGGCTTCTTAAATGGTATAACCCTTCCCAGTTGGATTGTAGTTTTCTATATTGTGAAGGAATGGCAAGATGTCTAAGTACTAGTGTTCCTTCTTAAATTTCCCTTGGGACCACCTTCGAGTTGTACCTTATGGTTGTCTTTTTTTTGGGTGTGAATTCCATGATGTGGGCAACATCTCTATACTCTTCAATTAGGTCGTCTACGTATCTTAGCATTACCTCATTCTCTTCCACATTGAATTGAGACCGCTTCCAAGTGGGTGTGTAGATTTAAATAGACAGCATGGCGTCTGCGACATATTCCATCATGAATGGATTCTCTTTGGTGGTTGTATAAGGGTGGTATGATATGACCATAAGACATTGTGAAGTTGTTCAGCCTAGAGTCCTTTGGTGTTATCTAACTTCTTATTTATTTTCTTTAATATCACCTTTTTTGTTGATTCAACTTTCTCGTCTGCATATGGATGGACAATGAAAATAAACTTTATTTGCACTCATAGGTTGTGACAGAAATTGACCACAATAGAGTTGGAAAATCGAGTGCCATTATCTGAAATGCTAACGCCCGAAAAAACAAACATTTACATGAGTAGCGACCAATAAAAACGACAAACTCTTTCTGCTATGATCTTGGAGACGATTTTAACTTCTATCCATTTTGTGAAATAGTCAACTCCAACAATCAGAAACTTTAGCTAGCCAGGCACCAATAGGAAAGGGCCAAAATTGTAAACGCCTATTTGGTAAAATGGCCAAGGCATTGTGATGGAATGAAGGAGTTCAACTCATGTATGATGCATATTTGTGTGCTTCTGGAAATTTTGCATTTTCTGACAAATCCAACATTATCCTTCATTGGCGTGGGCAAATAATAACTCGTCCTTAGCAGTTTTTGGGCCAGGGATTGTCGACCAATGTGACTTCCACAAGCCCCCTGGTGCACCTTTGTAAGGACTATGGCGATTTCATGTTCTTCCATACATCTTAGATAGTATCTATCCTTCTAACTCATCCAGTGGAATCCCTTACCATTTTATAAAGCTTCCATGACATTATGGTGTACTTTGCTACGTGTTTGTGAATTTTCTTTTCCTCTAACTCGTTCAGTGGAAGATCGTCTGATTTTAGGTAGTATCTTATGGATGTCATCCAGCTAGTAGTGTAGGAGAATTCAAGAGTATTGGTTTCATCTGCCTCGGTAATAGAGGCGATAAAATTTTCTTTAGCTACAACGCCTTTGTGTCCTTCTCTATTTATGTTGGCGAGTTTGGAAAGAAAGTATGAAAATATGTTCCCTGGGCACATACATTACATCGAAATCTTTGAAAAATTCTATCAAATAACATACCTTTTTAGATATTTGATGAGTTAGGGCTCGTTCACTTTATATTCTCCAGTGACTTGATTTGCCACCAACTGGGAGTTGCTTTTGGCCTTTAGATTTGAAACTCCAATATCGATGGTGACGAGCATACCGGAAGTGAGAGATTCATACTCGTCCGGGTTGTTGCTAGATTTGAACTTAAAAACTTCAACGACTGCTCGATTAACAGGTTATGTGGTCCTTCCAATACTACCCTGGCGTTAGTTCCCTTTAAGTTAGATGTGCCATCTACAAATAATGTCCATGTGGAGGGAGCCTCATTTCCTAATAGTGAGATAAACAAAGCTAGAAAATCGGCTAGTATATGTGACTTGATACTTCCTATGCGTATATACTGTATATCATACTCAAATATTTATATCGCCCAAGATACCATCCTACTTACTAGATATGGATTCTTCAAGACCTGTCAAATGTGGTTGTTGGTTTTTGCTATTACTCAATTCCCTTAAAAGTAGGATCTAAGATTTCTTGTAGTTATCATGACTTCCAGGAAAATTCTTTCAATATTGTGATATCAAGCCTCAGCACCATCAAACACCTTTCTCACAAAATAGACCGGTTTCTCAACTTTATTTATTAACTAAATGAGCATCAAGCTCATTTCCTGGTTAGTGACAAATAGTCGGAGGTAGAGGGGAAAACCTGATATTGGGAATATCGTGATGGGTGACGATGCTAGTGTGGCAAAGAAATGAAAAGTAATTTCAAATGCACAAGAAAGGAAACAAGATAGGGAATCTAAATTTCCTATTAGTTGCATAACATTTTTAACGTTGGAAGGGTTCCTCATGTCGATGATGTCCAGACACTAGTTTGGGTTCGCCACTATATCTCTTTTAGTTAACTTAAAACCTATAAACTTGTCTTCTTGTATGCCAAATTAGCACTTAGCAGGAGTTAAGCGCATGTTGTAGTTCCTGATTGATTCTAGGATGTCTTATAGGTATGTAATGTGGACCTTCCCT